TTTATACTCTAATGAAATATATTTTAATAAGAAAGTATACTTAGTATTCATGTTTGAATTGTTTTTACATTGTCATTTCTGGGCCTTTTATAGCTGACTGTGCAGTATGGGCTTTGTTCATTGTTGAAGGCCGTACGGTGACCTATTGTTGTTAATTTCTGTGTCATTTGGTCTCTTGTGGAGAGTTGTCTCATTGGCAATCATACCACATCTTCTTTTTTATTTGTACTCCAATGTAGGATTTGAATTAAAACATGCATCACATTAATTTCTGAATTAATTATAACAGCAAATGTTTTCTTAACATTGAAAATTTGGAAACCCTTTCTCTAATAGTCTCACCTGAACGAAAGTAAAGTTTCCGATTGTCAATTTGGATATCTACATATTTAGTTGATTTTTTTAAAGTAATTTGGAAAATATGACTTGATTTAGATTGTTTGAAATTCAGTTGAATTTTAATCATTTCTATTCAAAATGTATACATCAGATTGTTTTGGTTAGCCACCAACTTCTGATAATTTGACACGCACATTAATTTCGGAAATAATGATTATATCATTAACCGTCTTCATTACTGATTGAAATATAGATTTAAAATGAAAATAAGTTAATGATATATAGTCAAAAAGAGCAATTGAGCAATGATGATGGCTGCCATTAATGCCAGTTTTTCTTTATAGATATTTTGAATGAAAAAAAAATTAAAGTAGCAAATTTTTTAAGTTTTTTATTTGGTTCAATATTTTTGAACTTATTTTGTTTTTGTTTCAGATACCAGCCCCAGGATATTTACGTCAGGACAGGTAACATATGCATCGGAAAGTAAGTATATTTTTTTTTTTATTTATTAATAGTTGTCTGATAGATATTAAAATAATTTGATTATGTATTACAGATAGACGGGAGCCCTGAGAGAAGAAGACGAAATTACAGTCCTTGACATGGCGATGATTTAGTTGTAGATGCCCAGATGATGATGTAGGTATTTTGTCATTACAATTGTACTTAAACTGTTAATAGTTGTAAGGTAATAAAATCAGTTTTCCCTGGAGAAACAGCTTGAAAATTTATTACAAATTAGTCCAAAATTTCTTTTTCAAATTTATACTCTAATGAAATATATTTTAATAAGAAAGTATACTTAGTATTCATGTTTGAATTGTTTTTACATTGTCATTTCGGAGCCTTTTATAGCTGACTGTGCAGTATGGGCTTTGCTCATTGTTGAAGGCCGTAAGGTGACCTATTGTTGTTAATTTCTGTGTCATTTGGTCTCTTGTGGAGAGTTGTCTCATTGGCAATCCTACCACATCTTTTTTATTTGTACTCCAATGTAGGATTTGAATTAAAACATGCATCAAATTAATTTCTGAATTAATTATAACAGCAAATATTCTCTTAACATTGACAATTTGGAAACCCTTTCTCTAATAGTCTCACATGAACGAAAGTAAAGTATCCGATTGTCAATTTAGATATCTACATATTAAGTCGATTTTTTTAAAGTAATTTGGAAAATATGACTTGATTAAGATTGTTTGAAATTCAGTTGAATTTTAATCATTTCTGTTCAAAATGTATACATCAGATTGTTTTGGTTAGCCACCAACTTCTGATAATTTGACACGCACATTAATTTTGGAAATAATGATTATATCATTAAACCGTCTTCATTACTGATTGAAAAATAGATTTAAAATGAAAATAAGTTAATGATATATAGTCAAAAAGAGCAATTGTGCAATGATGATGGCTGCCATTAATGCCAGTTTTTCTTTATAGATATTTTGAATGAAAAAAAAATTAAAGTAGCAAATTTTTTAAGTTTTATATTTGGTTCAATATTTTTGAACTTATTTTGTTTTTGTTTCAGATACCAGCCCCAGGATATTTACGTCAGGACAGGTAACATATGCATCGGAAAGTAAGTATATTTTTTTTTTATTTATTAATAGTTGTCTGATAGATATTAAAATAATTTGATTATGTATTACAGATAGACGGGAGCCCTGAGAGAAGAAGACGAAATTACAGTCCTAGTCATGGCGATGATTTAGTTGTAGATGCCCAGATGATGATGTAGGTATTTTGTCATTACAATTGTACTTAAACTGTTAATAGTTGTAAGGTAATAAAATCAGTTTTCCCTGGAGAAACAGCTTGAAAATTTATTACAAATTAGTCCAAAATTTTTTTTTCAAATTTATACTCTAATGAAATATATTTTAATAAGAAAGTATACTTAGTATTCATGTTTGAATTGTTTTTACATTGTCATTTCTGGGCCTTTTATAGCTGACTGTGCAGTATGGGCTTTGCTCATTGTTGAAGGCTGTACAGTGACCTATTGTTGTTAATTTCTGTGTCATTTGGTCTCTTGTGGAGAGTTGTCTCATTGGCAATCATACCACATCTTCTTTTTTATTTGTACTCCAATTTAGGATTTGAATTAAAACATGCATCACATTAATTTCTGAACTAATTATAACAGCAAATATTCTGTTAACATTGACAGTTTGGAAACCCTTTCTCTAATAGTCTCACCTGAACGAAAGTAAAGTTTCCGATTGTCAATTTGGATATCTACATATTTAGTCGATTTTTTTTAAGTAATTTGGAAAATATGACTTGATTTAGATTGTTTGAAATTCAGTTGAATTTTAATCATTTCTATTCAAAATGTATACATCAGATTGTTTTGGTTAGCCACCAACTTCTGATAATTTGACACGCCCATTTATTTCGGAAATAATGATTATATCATTAAACCGTCTCCATTACAGATTGAAATATAGATTTAAAATGAAAATAAGTTAATGATATATAGTCAAAAAGAGCAATTGAGCTATGATGATGGCTACCAGAGTATAGAACTTTTTGATAGGTTACCTATTCTGTGATGTAAGAAAAACTGAAAGAAGTAAAATTATGTAAGCTTACAATCGGTGCAATTTGTAGATGAATTGTTTTATTGGTTTTTTTTTGAGAGTCATCTCATCTGTTAAAATTTTGCCTGTTTGTTGCCTAAAAAGTTTATTAGCCATTCATGAGAAGCAAACTTCAAAGGCAGTGACACACCCGTCAATTCAAAGGAACACAGCATGACTCCCTATAACTTCAGATAGGGCAGCATGGCAGCAAAACAAGTTGGAACTGACAGTAGTGACCAGACAACATAATACTTGGGGGAATAAAAATAATTTAATTTATAAATCCAGACAATTAAATTTCAAGATTAAATCTTTAGTCGACCTGTTCATGGAGATGTTTAAAGATGATTTTTACCATGTTTTTTTAGTTTTTGCCTATTATCTAGAATAAATGACCAGCAGGACAAGATCTAAAATATGTCAACGTGACTGAATGTGTCAAGTAACACTTTATAGAGTTATTGCCCTTTCCTGATGATTTTAATTTAGAAGTGGTTATTGTTGAAGATGATGTTGAGCAACACAAGAGCCTCTGTTTGAACAATTTTGATTGACCTAAGCATTTTACTTTCAGGTTAGCATTAATTACTGCTTGTCATTATGGATTGAAGTTTAGAATGATCAGACTTTTAAGGTAAGAACCATTGCATAGATTTATAAACTTGTTGATTAAAGATTATGTAAATGCCTTTGAATTTTGTTATTTTACATGTGACATTTTGTTGCAGAAGCCAGGCATAGCAATTCACATTACTTTGCTATAGGCGTCAAAATTTAGGGTTCAGTATTATGGTTAAAAAGTTTTCAAACATCAATAACTTTGTCAAACTTTGAAGTAATTGTACATACGAAGAATCAACAGCAAAATTTTGAAATTCAAATATAAATATAGATTCTACCACTGCATCGAGGGTGATACGATATTTATCCACTCGAGACAGTTAAAATTTCAAATTTAAAACGCGAGGCTCGCTGAGCGTTTTAGATATTTAAAATTTAAAAGTCGAGAGTCGATAAATATCGTATTACACGAGATTTGGTGGTGGAATCTGTTTCTCTAATGATTTTCAAACAATATGCAGGCAAACTTATTCCTTCTTTTTGAATGATCTGCAAAAAGATGTGTTCTTTCTATGTGACGTCATCAGGCATGGTCGCCTTTTTTCATGCCGTCACAATAGGATATTCAGAGGAAAGCAAGAAAATTCGACATCATAATCGGACTTTAACCAATGAAGAACTGAGATCAAACGAACCACACGTTGATTAAATGTTTTTTATACAATGGGTACAGAAAGGGATAAATTGACGAAGAATTAGAGAAAAAAAAATATTCATCAATTGAAGGAACAATACACTAATTCCCAAATGTATGTAGGTATGAGTAAATTATTATTGTTGTTTGGTCATAGGTTGAATATTTTTCTATATTTTAATTCTTTGATTTAATAGTTTTGTTACATTGACCTAAAATACAAGAAATAACTTTCTACACATTTCAATTTTGTTTTGATGCAACATCATCAACAATATCTTTTGACAACACTTATTGTTGCATATAAAATCGGAGAAGTGAAATTATCATCAATTTTTATTTAACTTGGAAATCACAGTACTTCATTGCAACCGATGTAATAAATATACTTTTTTTCACAGTTTTCACTAAGATAATTTTAAGGTTAAAGTTTTACAGATCAAACATTTATTTTTTATTTTCCACATTCAAAGTACCAAGAATGAGTTATTTCATTAGTTTGATATATGGTTTCTAGTAACATGAATAAAATTTTATAACATTTGAAAAGTAAATTCTGAGATAGATTTCATCTTCAGGGGGAGACTAGTACAACAAGCAGCAAGAATGTGTCATTCAATGGGAGTTAACTCATAGATTATTGAAAAAAAATAATGTTGAAACAAAATCAAAACATGTTTTGTATTTCCGGCTTTTATAGATATTAAACTGGTTTTAATGCTATGCTTAATCTTAAGTCGGAAAACTTTTTTGGCGAACAATTTAACACTTTTGTAAAATATATAATTTGTTAATTTTAATTCCTTTTTTAGGTTATTGCAGTGACTGTTTTCATGGATGGAGAGTAAAACTTGGTGGTCTGATACTGCTATATATTAGTAAGTATATAATTCCTCTGTTAAAAACAAATTTATTTTCATCTTAAAATAAAAATTGATAGTAATGTAATGTGCATTAGGCTTGAAAGTTTTAAAGAGTTTAGTCAGAAGTTCTTTCTGTCTACCTTGCACCACAGGGGATATATGGTTATGGTCTTTGTCCAAGTGTCGTAAACACATCAATACTTAATTATGTTCGCTCTTTTTTTTTTTTTTTTTAACTTTTTGTCAGATAATTGGAATCCTCTCGTTTTATCCATGAAGTGCCATTACAATTTTGCCTGCTTACACCCCTACATATCATTTCATAATTTAATTACATATTGTTTGAAAAGCCATGTTTGAAAATCTTAAAATCCTTGTTATTTTTTCATAGTTCTAATTTGCAATAAAATAAATAAATGGAGAAGATGATGCCCCTGGTTGCATAAAACATTATAAAGGGACAAACAGTAAAAGTGATGTCACCCTAATTAGAAATTGATCTGAGTTTTGCGGTAATAAGCATTGGGATAAGTCTACTAACATTTGGTTGAGGCACACTTAAGTTCGAGGACAGAAATGAAAAATTCAGCATTTTTTCCATTTGTAAAGGGGCATAACTTTAGAACAGTAAAAGTGATGCCACTTAAATTCAAAGCTGATCAGAGTTTTGTGGTAATTGTGTATAAGTTTCAAAACAGTTGGTTGAGGCAAACTAAAGTGAAGAACGATACCCACTTTTGGGACGTACATACAGACGTACAAGGGTAACACTTAATGCCCCTTCCACTTTGGTGCTGGCATAAAAAATGAACTATATGTAAACAACAAACAGAAACAAAAATTCTTTTTAAATCACATACTATTGCCTTCATTTTGATACTAATTTTCAAAACCTACCTGAATTAAGATATGATCAATTGCCATGATTGCCGTTAGAATTAAGGCAAAATAAAAATATATATGTGGTTCTGGTTACCAGACTGACCCTAGTACTTTTTTTTTTAATTCTGTTAAATAAATTTTGAACGATCCCATTTTATGGAATGTGAATTTCTAAAATTAAATTCACAGACTTCTGTCATATGAATTTCCAATAAAAGTATCCACTACGGCTAAAAATGCAACCATTTCTTAACAGAATGCAACAAAATCAACTAAATACGTAACATGTCTTTTTATTTTACAACCAAACATATAGAAAATGGCAAACTTCCAGGAGGGGCATGTATATTACCAGAATCAGACTCAGTGAACACAAGATTTTTTTCCAGATTTTGACATTCCAAAAAAAAAAATCAAAAAGTTGACCTACAGACCCAATTTTTTTGGAGGATGTAACTGGAACTACGCAAATATTTTTATTTGGCCTAAGTTTTTTTTTATTATGCAGATGAAAATTTGGATCCTTTTGACTGGAAAGATTGTCAGGAACCTGAAGAAACTGAATCCACAATAAACATATGTACACAAACAGGTAAATATATATCTGTACATAGTAGGGATGTCATCGAGTATTCGAGTATCGCTCTGTAGTACCGAGTATTAAATACCAAAACAAAAAATTACTCGACTAATTGGTTTCCTGTTTAAATATTGCTGTCTTCTTAACATAAAATTGATCTTATTGAGAACCTCTTTCAGAAAATCAAAAAGGCATCCTGATTAATCATACTAGTAAATTAAATACATTGTGTTTCAAATGTTTGTGCTAAATTGTCATTTAAAATGCCTCCATAACTTCAAGGTGGGGGTTTACAGTTGTTTGTCCGAGAACATTTTTTTTTTAGTAATTTGACGCTATCAATCAAATAATTTTTTTCAAAATTTAACACGTTAAGGTATGGGGAAAATTTGGATTCAGAATATTTTTTTTTTTTTTGTCATCTGCTTGACCACAATATTTTTTTTCATCAAATTGAGGATCAGAATATTTTTTTAGGCAAAAACCATAACCCCCCCCCCCCACCCTTTGAAGTTAAATGGTTGTTCCCTTAATGTATTTTAAGGAAAGATGGGGATACTTTTAACCACAATAAAAGTACCCCCAATTTTTTCTTATTCTAAATGTTTATGTATGATTTTTGTCTCGCCTTGACGGAGTCAAAAAGCGAGACATAGGTATGCTGTTTCCGGCGGTGGCGTCAACAATGTATTAGTTTGTGATAAGGTCTAGTTCATGGTGAACCACTAGTGGTAGGTCAATGATATTTGGTATGCAGTTGTATTAGCATTGGCACATCTTATTACCATGGAGATTATTTGGCCCCGCCCCCTCAGTCAAGGTCTATTGACTTTGAAACTTTTCATAGTTTACATGTATTAGTTTGTGGTTAGGTGATTAGGTCAATTTATGGGGAAACACTAGTGGTAGGTCAATGATATTTGGTATGCAGTTGTATAAGCATTGGCATATCTCATTCCCATGGAGATTATTTGGCTCCGCCCCCTTTGTCATGGTCTATAGACTTTGAAAATTTTGCTAATTTAACGTATTACATTTTGTAATTTGTGATTAGGTCAGTTGAAGGGGAACCATTAGTGGAAGGCCAATGTTAATTGGTGGTCAGTTGTATAAGCATTAGCACATCTCATTTCCATGGAGAATATTTGGCAGTCATGGTCTATTTACTTTAAAACTTTTGCTTAGTTTACATGTATTAGTTTGTGATTAGATCAGTTTAAGATGAACTGCTAATGTTAAGTCAATGATATTTGGTATGCAAATTTATTATCATTTGCAAGTATCGTTTCCATGGAGATTATATAGCCCCACCCCTGATCATGGTTCATTGACTTTGAAACTTTTACATAGTTTACAAGTTAATGTTTGTTTAGGTTTGTTTAAAGGGAACGACTTTAATAAGTCAATGGTATTTGGTATGCAGTTGTATTAGCATTGGCACATCACAATTCCATGGAGATTTTTTAGCCATGTCCCTTCAGTCATGGTTCATCGACTTTGAATATTTGCATAACTTGCATGTTAAAAACAAAAAGGCGAGACATATCTCTGTGATAACAGTTTATTCAAGAGATTGCAAGAAAATACATGCAAGCCCAATTACATCCTAGTCGAGTGCCCATGTGTGCTCTTATATAAAAGTACATGTACACAAATAAAAGCACAGCTGCATGTGAATTGGGTTTGGAATGAAGTATTGCTCCAAAACATTTTTTGTTTGTTAAATTGGTCTGGAGATTCCAGGCTACTATCTGAGAATGCACTAGCTAAACTAGCCTTTTGGTCGTAATATCCCAATATAAATGATTCCATATGCAGATGATCAACATTGAAAATTACAATATATAAAATAAAAGCTTATGTTTGATATACAAATCATAAGTCTTCTTTATTGTTATAAATCTTTTTTTCCAGAAAAATAACAACACTGGTTGATACAATTATAGGAACCGGAAGAAGTTAAAAGTTTGACTTGCAACTGAATATCCAGGAAACATGTCTTTTACTGAACAGTATGAGAGAGCAATGATGATTATTGGATTTAAACTGCTTGGAAAATATAACCAAATGAAGACGAAAAATGCACTGCATCAACAAACAAAACAACTACTAAGAGATTGGGATTCTAAAAACAATTGTTCAAAATCTTCTACAAGTTTAAGAAGACTGTACATACATGTATATATATATATATTTATATAAGAAAGAAAAAAGTTTCAAGCACATGCATTATTTTGTGTACATACATGAAATGAATAGAAAAAAGGATAGAAAAAAAGGAAAAGAAAATGAAAAGAAAAAAAAAAAAAAAAAAAAAAAAAAAAAAAAAAAGAAAAGAATGAAAATTAAAGAAAAGAAAAGAAAAGAAAATTAAAGAAAAGAAAAGAAAAGAAAATTAAAGAAAAGAAAAGAAAAGAAAAGAAAATTAAAAAAAAAAATGAAGAAGAAAAAAAAAATTGAGGAGGGAGGTGGGTAATGCAGCCAAGTAATACTGTATTCACCAATTTCATGCACCATAACACCCACAATCGTGATAGTACTCTTGGATTGGCCTCAAAAATTTGTGATTAAATAATATAACCTCATTATGCAGGAAATCTATTTTAAAAATTATCTTTACAATCATCATCTAGAGCTGACCAATATTTACGTCTTTTATCATTTTCATTGATATAAGATACCCCATTTTTAATTTCTAAATAAAACCAAGGTGCTTATTATTATGAATATAGTACAACTTGCCAGTCACAAGCCTGGAATAAAGAGCCACATTAAAATATCAAGAATTAAGTTAGTTTAAACAGGACTGTTTACAACTTTTTTGCCATTACTAGTATATGCATGTTACTCATATTTTTTCATTCTCTTTCAATAGGTCAATATAGAAAACAGGTGTGATTATGATTTTTATATAGCAGCTTTAGTTGCATGTACCTACCCTTTTTCAAAGTCTCTATATACATGTTCATACCCTTAATTAATTGCCTTCACGGCTTAATTGCAGGTGTTTCCCATTTACATATGTTCTCCAGGTAAACAAAAAATTCTGAAACAAATTGTACATTCCAGCAATTAAGTGTCATACTAGTAAAAAAAGGGGGGATACAGATTTTAAACTTTTATTATATATTTAAATCATTAATTTATTGTGGCTTTTAATGCAGAGTGAACCACCATATAGCTTTAATTTTAGATTTATTGTGACTTTTAATGCCTAGTAAACTATCATATAATTTTAATGATATTATACCAACTTAAAAAATACCTATAATTATGTATTGTACTAGGAATACACAAATCATAACTCATTATAATTTATATGTAGTTTTCATTCTAGTGAAGACCATGCTCATTACAATAAAAATTGTTTACAAATATCTTTAGTTCAGAGATAGTACATTTCTTTTCAGAGTCACAGTGTCGGATATTTTTTGTTCAACATACATGATCACATACAAAAGTCATGGGATAACGTCAGAAATCTAAGAAATATTTGAATAAAACAATGTTGAAAATATTGATATCAACTTATTACGTTTGGTTTTCATCAGAGATAGTCCTTGCAGAAAATCTGCTGATCCTCACTATCGGTACATGTATGTTCTATTACAATAAAAATATGTGATAAAAGTACATAAGGCAACATCCGTTTTCTTATTTTCCACATTTACAACACACTAAAAAAGAATTTATAAGTTTAATATATGGTTTCCAGGAACAAGAATAAAAACTTTAAATCGTGAAAAGTAAAATTTTGAGATAGAAAGTTTTTTTTTTATATCAGTACCAGAATCAGAATTTGACTTAATGTATTAAAGATTTTAATTAATCATATGGATATCATATTTTTTGTGTTGTTGGGATGTTGTCAAATTTATGTATTCAACACATCTTCTTTTACTCATTTTGTCATATATATAAAAAAGAAGATGTGGTATGATTGCCAATGAGACAACTCTCCACAAGAGACCAAATGACACAGAAATTAACAACTATAGGTCACTGTACGGCCTTCAACAATGAGCAAAGCCCATACCGCACAGTCAGCTATTAAAGGCCCCGAAATGACAATGTAAAACAATTCAAATGAGAAAACTAACAACCTAATTTATGTACAAAAAATGAACGAAAAACAAATATGTAACACATTAACAAACGACAACCACTGAATTACAGGCTCCTGACTTGGGACGGGCACATACATACAGAATGTGGCGGGGTTAAACATGTTAGCGGGATCCCAACCCTCCCCCTAAACTGGGACAGTGGTGTAACAGTACAACTTAAGAACCTATTTCCATATACTCTGGATTCATTATCATTCTTTGGATACCAATTTTCGTGGATATATAAGTGACCAACTTATATAAGTATTTAATGTAAACTTACAAATTTTCTATAGGCTTGTATGCCAACTTTAGAAAAAACCCACAAAAATACAATTGTTCTTCAATCCACGAAATTGGAGAAATGTTAGAATATTGAGATCTACCTCCTGGGGACTGACCCTATACGTCATTCAAATGTTCGAGACATGACGAACAAGAATACATACATATGGTTAAGGGGTGGGGATCTCGACCATTTACAAGATATTAGAACATTGGGGGTGGGGGTGACCCCTGAGGACGGACCCTATATGTCATTCAAATGTTCGAGACATGACGAACAGGAATACATACATATGGTTTAGGGGTGGGAATCTCGACCATTTACAAGTTATTAGAACTTTTTCAAATGGCAGGGGGTCGGAATGACCCCTGGGAACTAACCCTGTATATCATTCAAACCATCTTCGCATGACAAACCAGAATATATATGGTTGAGGGGTGGGGATCTTGACCACTTGCAAAGATATTAGAACTTTTTTTAAATGGCAGGGGGTGGGGTGACCCCTGGGGACTAACCCTGTTTATCATTCAGACCATCTTTGTGTGACAAACCAGAACATATATGGTTTAGGGGTGGGGATCTTGATCACTTACAAGATATTAGAACTTTCTTAACTGGCAGGGGGTAGGGGTGACCCCTGGGGACTAACCCTGTATTTGATTTGATGTGCTTTATCAGATCAAACCAGAATATATATGGTTTAGGGGTGGGGATCTCGACCATTTACAAGATATTAGAACTTTCTCAAGTTTCAGGGGTCGGGATGACCCCTGGGGACTAACCCTGTATATCATTCAAACCATCTTAGCATGGAAAACCAGAATATATATGGTTTAGGGGTGGGGATCTTGGCCACTTGCAAGATATTAGAACTTTCTCAAATGGCAGGGGGTGGGGTGACCCCTGGGGACTAACCTTTTATTTTATTTAATGTGCTTTATCATTTAGAACATTTTCAATTATGAAAATTGTGTCTATCACCGATTGTTTTCAAGTTATAATCATTTGAAAATTAAATAATATAAAATCCCATAGGGTTCTATAGTAAACCCCTCCTTCCTTTTTGCCCCTCAAAGTACCCTTTATAAACCCCATTGCATAAACAAAACCCTGATTGCACCACTAGACATGTTAGTCTAACATATTGTGAAACCCTAGTTTAATCTGACTAGCGGTTTTGGAGAACGGGTGCAGACAAGTTCATATCTAAAAGCGACGGAAGAAGAAGAAGAAGAAGAAGAAGAACCAATAAGTCTTCCGTTTGGGAGACTTAATAAATACGCTTAGACGGGGTGATTTGGAAATGCAAGAAATTGAGTCAATGTGGATAGAACTTATTAATGTTCATCAAAAGCCTATTTTACTAGGTTATATATATAGACCACCTAACCGTCATGCTGAATGGGTTACTAAGTTTGAAACCATGTTGTTTAAAAAGTTGACACTGAAGATAAGGAAACTATTATTTTGGGAGATTTTAATATTGATTTAATGTCAAGTAAAAAACATCCTAAGTGGTTACACCTCAAAAATATTTTCAACATGCGTCAGGTGGTTTCAGAATCTACAAGAGTTACAAAAACTTCATCCACTTTAATTGACCATGTTTATTGTAATGTGCCAGAAAATGTTTATATTTCAGTTCCAAAATATTCAATCAGTAATCACTATCCAGTATATATTTCTAAAAGAGGGTTAAAAAAGAAAAAGCAAATTCATGATTATATAACTTATAGATCTACAAAATATTTCAACGAGACTGATTTTATTCACCATTTATCTCGGTGTCCCCATGATACAATACTAGAAATTGATGGTCCTGGTGAAGCGCTACTAAGTTTTATACAGAATATTTTTACTGAAGTGTTGAATCATCATGCTCCATTTATTAAAAAGCGAGTTAACCATGTTTATCAAAATGAGTGGATAAATTATGAAATTAAGGAGGGCATGAAACAACGTGATTATAATCATAAGAAAAAAAGATACGTATAATTATAAATTCTGGAGAAACAAGGTTAAATACCTCGTAGAAAATTCAAAGCAAAAATTCTATACTGATGCAATAGAACATGAAAAAGGAAACAGTAGTAAATTATGGAAACACTTGCATAATGTCAATGGTAGTGAAAATTATCATGACCATGCAATTTTAAATGACTAACAATAAACTGATTACAGACCCAAAGAGCATTGCTGATACTTTCTATAACTATTTTACAAATATTACTGAAAATATTAATCTTACTTCAAACTTAAGCACCAGTTGTTAACAATTCCCTTCATTATTGTATGAATCAAGAATACTTTTCCCTCTATTTATTGATTGTACAAATTTCCTTATGGCATTGTGCACTATTGAATCTTCCATTACTATTTATGACCCTGTTATACAAAATATATTCTGAAGAATAGACGATATCAGATTGCAGGACAGATTTATTTCAGCAGGTTACACAAAAGAGTGTTCATGTTATATGGAGAAGCTTTTATAGGATTTGCCTGTTGCTCAATACTTTTCATATCTTAATGAATAAAATATGTTTAAAATCAAAGGGTGTTCAAATGGAAGATTTGACAAAAAATGAACAAGATACTTACAACTAAATGTTCTGCAACATTCCTTAATTGATTCCAGCTTCAATCTAGCTTACGACTATAACGAATTCCTCCTCCAACTCTTCTTTTTCAGTATACAGCATTTAAAAACATTTTGGCTGTTTTACAAATCATGACTACATTTTCACAGCAGAATTATCTGTATGGTGCATAGTTTTTTTTTCACAATAGAAAAGTACACAAACTGTTCCACTACATAATGTTCTGTGCAGTGTACAACACTTTCCATAATAGAACATGACATCAGGGTTGTGTTTTAGGAGAAAAGCCCTGAATTTGGATAGTTCATGCCTTCTGTGACCACCAGACCTGTATAAACAAGTATACA